ATCACAGCTCAAGACGAACCAGTCCAAGTGATTAGGTTGGAGTCTGCTCTCATCAGCACCAAGACTTCAGCTTCACCAGTGGGAACTGGCCAGCGCTGGGGCACCCAGTTCCCTTTGCTGTGATGCTCAATCCCACCCTGGGCTCAAATCCTGCAGCACCAGCAATCAGACTGCTAAGAGTCCTGGTTTGTGTTTGCAAGTGATGCACACAAGCAAGGGATCTGCTCCTGGAGAGATGCTGCTTCCCCAGAGGGGATCAGAGACACCCCTGTCCTCCGGGCGCTGCAGAGGCCGGGGGGCCCCCAGCAAAGCCTCTGCGCTCACTCCCCTTAGCCGCTTTGTTCGTCTCCATATTGTCCACCCTGCCAAGGATTTCCACAGGCTGCAACACCCACGCGACCCGCTGCAAAGCCCAGCCGGGCTGCTGGGTGGCAGTGTTGGGATGCACACTGCACTGCGCAGAGCTGCACGCAGGGCCTGCACACCCAGACACAGGCTGCATGCAGCACTGCGTGCGCCGAGATGCACACTGCAGCCGGGATGATGCAGGCCGAGGTGCATGCTGCATGCAGGATTGCACGCACTGAGGTGCAGACTGCACATATGCACCTCAGTGTGTGTGATCCCGGCACACAGCAGGAGTCGCATGTAACAACATGCACACTGCACATGAGATTGCACACACCAACATGCATGTTGCATGGAGAATTACACACTGAGGTGCACACTGCACACAGGATTGAATATAGCAAAGCGCACACTGCACATGGGATCATATGTACCAAGGTGCACACTGCACACGGGATTGCATACACCAACATGCGTGTTGCATGAGAAATTGCACGCTGCACGTGGGAGTGCACGAAGTGCATGCTGCATACAGGATCACACACACCGACAAGCATGTTGCACATGGAATTGCCTGCAGCGAGCTGCGCGCTCCATGTGGGATTGTGCACGCTACGCATGGGACCATGCACTGACGTGATCCCTGCTCCCCTCCAAACGCTCTGCCCTGCAAAACGCCAGCAGTCCCTGTCCCATCCCCCGTGACCCTCGGGGGGCTCTGCCCAGGGGGCTGGGGCGCAGGAAACCCAGCCTGAAGCACCGTTTTTGGGCGCACGCCCATGCCCAGAACCGGGGAA